AGATTATTTAGATTCTTAACGTAAATGTTAATGTAAGCATGGGTCAACAAAAAAAAACTTTATCTCACATTATTCGAATAATATAGTCTTAGCCAGGGATTCGACGTTTCCGAAACTTTTTTATGACTTTCTGAACCGGCTGTTAAAGAGCTAAATTCGTGTTATAGCCGATCATCCCATTAAGTATCAATCAGTACATGACAATTGAGTAATGATGATACCTGTACATATGCATATAATGACTGCTAAGGTCCAAAGCAATCAAAAGTTGAAATACAATGGCCCACGACGGATAGATTGATGCAAGAAAACATAAAAGACATGATGTAGTGGATCTACAAGAGAAGTAAACTAATCGTACGTTATTATCAAATACGTAACCTAAAAAAGGCTAGAATAACCGAAATAAATACCTGTCTGTGACCATGTCTAGCACTGCACCAAACTTGCTGCCTACAAGTAATATTCAAGATTTGAGAATGTCTAAATAACCGCCAAGAATTTCATAATGATCAAAAGATAGACATACATTGATTAAGATATCTTGCAACATTTCCATCCACCGCGTCCATTAAGCATGATAGACTATAAAGGCTCATACATGTCACTGGTGCGAATGGCATATAATATAGTGAAATAATGGCTAGTATTACCCGCGCGTATCCTACGAATAACAATGAAAAGTTTTTTGTAAAAAACTGAATAACAAACTGTGAAAATGCCAAGGAATTACAACGGAAATACACTGATTAAGTTCACATAAAAATACCTATCAAGTTTGGTATAAACAAGAACACGTTCTCTCGAGATAAAATATTATCTTTTTTAAGTACATTTTCAAGGTTAAATTGATTTTGTGATTTTGCAAATGTATTCGAGGCATTTTGCTTCTTTTTCGGCTTCATGATTATTTTATTTCAAGGTTTTAAGGATGGTAATCGAGATACAATAGAAAATTCCTCACTAAAGTAGGACGCGGATAAGCAAAAAGGTCACCGTAGTAACAAACATTTCCCGATTGCCGAATTTTCTTCACCAAAAATAGACAGGATCCTGTGACGCTTGTGTTTAACATCTACATCTCTTGCGGATCACTAACGCGTCAGAATTCGCGTTTCTTTATCCAGTAAAAATTTCAGAATTCGAAAATGGATTTCAGCGAGCTATACAAGCAGTCACAATACTTGAGTCGATTCTCTCCAAACGGACAATATATTGCTAGTGCATTCAAACAAAAACTGGCCTTTCGTGAGGCGTCCTCTCTTCAAATACTATCAATACACACCAGCACCGACCTAATAGAAAATATTGCGTGGTCTGCCGACTCGGAGTTACTAATTACAACCAGTTATAAAGCTGGCATTATAAATATTTGGAGTGTGTCGGATGAAAAGTGGAGCGCGAAGATTGAGGAGGGTACTGTTGGGTTGACTAATGCTAGATGGAGTCCGGATGGGAGGAGTGTTTTGTGTTTCTCTGATTTTCAGGTATTTTCTATTTATGTACACAATTAAAAGCTTTAATTGAATTCTGTATATTTTAAATATTCGCTTAAAGGTTCGGGTCACTATATGGTCTCTTACGTCTGGAGAAGCTTGCTTCATTCAATTTCCAAAATACTCTGATAAGGGTATTTCTTTCTTCTATGTGCAAATTTATTACAATCTTCATTTAAATCCCAACAACGATTACATTCTAGGATTCGATTTTCGAAAGGATGGAAAGTATTTTGTTTTAGCTGAGCGTCGGGATGGTAAAGATTTTGTCGGGATTTATGATTGCAATAATGCTTGGACTTTATTAAAGGTGTGCACGAGAAGCAAACCTTTAGAATATTTTTTTTTAAGTATTTCAACATTTAAATTATATACAATTCAGCATTTTCAAGTAGACACGGTAGATCTAGAGAATCTAGCGTGGTCGCCTGACGGACGATATATTGCAATATGGGATAAGTGTATTGATGTAAGTTATGCATTTGTTTTTCCGTTGTTTGGGAAGTCGATATTTTTTATGCAATTAATCACAAATAAAAAAACAGTATAAAGTTCTCATATATACACCGGATGGTAGAAGGCAACAATCGTTTTCCGCTTATAATATGGGCTTGGGAGTTAAGACGGCGGTGTGGGCACCTTCCAGTCAATTTTTAGCGGTCGGAAGTTATGATCAAAAGGTATAGAATTAAAATAACATCTAAACCGCTTTCTTTAAGACAAGGTAAATCCATTTATTGAGTATGAATTATTCATTAGATTAGGTTTTTAAATCATTACACGTGGACGCCGACTCTTGAGTTTACCCATATTAATCCAGTAAATAACATCGACAACCTGGTACTTGAGTGTTTGTTTCAATCTCTTTTTTTTCGATCGTTAGATTTTCTAATACCACATTTTAATAACTAGATTATCATGAGAGAAACCAGGGAGATGAAGGATAGGCAATCCACGAGGAAATGTAAGCTAACAATTGTTTAATTTTTAATTTTGACAAAGACTTAATAATTAAAAGCAACTACTATCAGATGTTATTGACCAACAACCAATGGAATTACCAGAGATTCGTCCAGATCCCGAGAAACCAAATCCGAAACTTGGGGTTGGCTCATGTAAATTTAATGCGAATGGCACTCTTGTTGCGTCGCGTAATGGTGATGTATATTTCATCATTTACAATATTAAATACTTTTATCTAACTAATTTTCATTAATAACAATAATTAGATAACATGCCAAATAGCCTCTGGATATGGGACATTTCTTTACTAAAACCAATCACGATATTTATGCAATTGATGCCAATCAGAAATTTTCTATGGAATCCTCGTTACCCGAATCAGCTCGTGCTTTGTTGTGGGTCCGAATATATTTATATATGGTCCGGACCGGAAGTAGGTGCTGAGATTATAGAGGTACCACAAGGTATATATGAAATATAGCATAGCATATAGCATTAAATAATATGCTAAGTAATATTTGTTTTTTTTTTAGTAAATTTTCTTGTGAATAACTTTCGATGGAATCCCGATGGTCACTCCTTATTGTTGATGGATAAGGAAGTATTTTGTGTTGGGTTCTTTG